AGGAGTTTGGCGCCATCTCGTAGCTAAGTGCTCCTACCACAATCCCAGAGGCCTCGATATGATCGATTTACCATTCAGGTCCAGGTCAAAGTTCGACGGGCAAATCAATTGTAAATAAATCTATATAAACAATCGAGCAAAAGGATCTACTGTAAAACAATCCATATAATCAGTCGAGCAGCATCAGCCATCAATCCATTATAAATCAATCCAAATAAACAATCGAGCAGCATCAATCCACTGTAAATCGTTCAATAATCGAGCAGCATCAATCAACAATGTATTGCAAAACGATTGCAAGCAACCAATTTAACAAGGGAAGAAGAGAAATTAGCAGGGGAAGAAGAGGAGGTCACAGGAACGAGAGAACTTACCTGGAAAAGAATCGACGACGAGGTACTGGAAATTGACGCAGCAGCAATCTAGGTTTTCCTATCGTTCAATCCATATAAAATCGAGCAGCATCAATCGACAATGTATTGCAAAACGATTGCAAGCAACCAATTTAACAGGGGAAGAAGAGAAGGTCATAGGAACGAGAGAACAATCCTGGAAAAAAATCGACAGGTACTGGAAATTTCGCAGCAGCGATTTAGGTTTTGCTATTCAATGCGGTATCCGTTTCTATTAAAGGGAAAAATATGTTTTCCTAGTTCCTACAAATTTCTAATCGGAGGGAACCATAATTCTCGTCCAAAAAATTTGGAGGGAACGACGTTTTTCTTTTTGTGGGGAGGGAAAAGTTAAAATAATAAAAATTTAAATTCAATTAGTAATTTTTAGTGGCAATTATATTTTTATTGCCGGTAAAAGGATATCTTTTAGTGGCTAATGCTCATGTGCCGCTAATTTTTCAGCTTAAATAATTTATTAGCAATAATTGCCTTATTTCCGCTAAATAATTGCCGCTAAAGGTCTTTTTTATATTAGTGTCCCCATTATTGTATGTCTTGCACCAGTTAGCCTCGATATGTCTAACACAAATCCTATGATGTGCTTGTGGTAGAACAGTTTTAATTGCCTCAATTAATCCTTTTAACAAATTCAGAAAACATGCAGTTAGAAATTGACAGAAACAAAAACTGGACAGCATACAGTAAAGACAAAACGAAAGTTGTACAATAATAAATGACAGAAAACCGGACAACAATAGAAATAGCAAAAAAAAGTGATGGATAGAAGTAGATGACACAAAAATATTTCTTAAGACTAGACATCAATAGAAATAGAAAAAAAGAAAGAGATGAAGACCTGACAGAAGTAGATGACAATAGAAAAAAATTCAGAAATATTACTTTTTGCATGTCTGACATGAAAGTGATTCCTTCTCCTTCCTTAAGGTCTAGAGATCCCTGAAGCAACTGTAGGAACCAGTTCCAAGAATGCTTTGTCTCCTTATCAACAATTGTCCATGCCAAAGGATAAAAATGGTTTTGTGCATCCTGTCCAACAACAACTGGCAATTGACCCTTGGCTTTCCCTTTTAAAAATGTTCCATCTACACCAATAAATGGTCTTAACCCTAACTTGAAACCCATCTTCCTATCTTTGAAACAAACATACATCCTCAAGAATCTTCTTTTCCCATTTTCAATTTCTTTTTTTGAAATGTTAATTACTACATCACTTCCTGGATTACTTTCCCTCAATTCAATGGCATAAGCATCAAGTTTGTTGTACTCATCTGCAAAACTCCCATCTAAGGTCTCCAATATCATTCTTTTTGCCTTTTGCACTTTCCATGACTCACATTTAACTCAAAAATCCTTTTCAAATCAAGTACTATCTACCTTACCTTATACTTAGGATTATCTTGTAGCTTTACCTTAAAGTAATATGCAATGGTATTGAAATCAACAGTACTATTATCATATGCAGTGCCACAATTATGTTCTGTCTCTAATGTCTTTACTGTAACCCTGCATTACCATTTTTGGATATTAAACAAACGAAGGGACAGCCCACAATGCATCTATACCTAACCCTCCTTGTGTCACTCTTCCTCAATTTTAAGACTTTCTTGTTGGCTAGAGCATACAACTTCATAAACTTCCTAGCTTCTGGTATGTCCTTAAAGGCCATGCCTTTATATATCTCCTTGTAATCACTCAGATTTTCATTTATGTCTTTTTTTTTGTGTTTTAAGTAAATGTAATTCTTCATAATCATATCCCTCAAAATCAGAACTAGAGTCAGATCCTAATTCACTTAAGCTACAGTCAGTACCAGCCTCATCTAAACAAGGATATGATTCACTATAATGTACAGTACTGGGAATACAATCAATGGGAGGATCACATTCATCCACATCATATAGGTTCACTACATTATATTCATTAGAAAGCAAGGATATCAACTGTCTAATCCCCACATCCCCTTCAACCTCATACAAGTTACCAGAAGGTCCAGCAATTATAAGTTGTTGAACCCCTACAAACCCTAGCTCAATTATGAATTCATTGACTATATTTATATAAGAAAGCAAGTCTGAATCATACCCTGACCAAGTGTGCAGTTGATTCTTTGTGTACACAACTTCAAGAAGTGTAACTCATTCACCTTTATAATTGAATATTAAATCAATTAAGACCATATCCAATAATCTAGTAAATATAGCGAATAAGAATGGTTAGCAAACAGTAAAAGAACCAATATAAGCTGAAAGTAACAAAAAAGGAATAATATAGGTAGGGGTGTGCATTCGAATTGGTTTATCGATAAATCGAATCGATTATTTGTTATCGAAATCGAAATTGAAATCGAAAAAATCGAAACCTTATTGAAACGATAATCGATAAGCATATGTACAAATCGATAATCGATAAGTAATTATCGATAAGGGTCAAAATCGAATGCACACCCCTAAACTGTAGACACTTGTAAAATAAGTAATTACCTATTTGTGTAGATTAATGTAACATACAGAATGTATATATATATATTCCGCTACTATTTTGAAAGCGGCTATACAATATCATTTTTCCTAATCTATACCCTTTCCTTTACCCTAACTCCCTTACCCTATTATTTCCTCTATCACATTTAAGGAATCATCATATTTAAAGATCAAAGGAATGAAGTTCAAATTAATAGAAAACAGAATTAGCCGTGATGATGTATTTTGTTTTGTTTTTCTTATACCATTGGAGTGTTGGTGGCATACATTTGATCCCCCACTTTAGTTTTGTTGCATGTGCTTGTTGACATAATTTTTATGTTATAAATGGTGTTCGTCTTATTTTAGCTTCTTTTTGTCCATATTACTTAGGCGCGTTTATAGCGATATACTTTCTGTGGAATCCCGCAAATTTTCTTATTGGTGTAATCGATAACCGAATCGATAAGCCCCCAAAATCGATAAATCGAAATCGAAAAAATCGAAACCTTATTGAAACGATAACGATAAGCATATGTACAAATCGATAATCGATAAGTAATTATCGATAAGGGTCAAAATCGATAAGAAATACAACATGTACAAAAGAATTCACAAAAGGTTCAGTTTGGGGGCCACCCCTTCATGAAGAATTCACAAAGTGAGCAAACATGCACTAAAGTCCAACCACCAAAATAGTTTAATGAAGCAGTTGCATTCAAGGGTCCTACATGTAGGACCACCTTAGCTAATAAACAAAGAAAAAGCACTGAATCTCAGTCAAAATCACAGAAAACTAAGGCATTTTTACCATTAAGACAAAAAACAAATCATAATCCACTTAAGAAACCACCTTTGAGAAAAAACCCTAAACCAGAAGACGATAAATCCACCTTGATATATATACCCATATGAATTTATTAGCATAACTGAAGCATGCAACCACTACAAATCGGGACCACCTCAAAACTGAAACATGCAACAACTACAAGAAGACAAACTTTAAAGTATATACATAAAAATGAAGGATAAAGCTTAGATATAGTCTAAACTGAAACCCTATACCACAAAAATAAGAATAATATAACAAACAATCATCAAAATCGATCAACAAATACAAAAATCAAGCAATTTAATGAAGAAAAGACTAACCTTTACAGCAAGATCATATGAAATCGGCAGTTTGGAGTCACCACTACCGTCGATCACTTAGAGCTTCTAGAGAGTGAAAAGAAAAGGGGGAAATTGAGGTTAGGTATGTGACAGTCGATATTTTAGAGAGGGGTCTAGTATTTTAGGGTCGGGTAATGGGTTGGGTCGGATCTATATTAAATCTCACCGGGTGAGTTTGGTGTTGCCACGTGACCCATCTGTTAAAATAACGCTATTTGTGTTTAATAGTATATTGTCAGGGGCTTTAATGCTCTAATAGTATAACGGAATGCTTATTTAAACTATTGATGATAGTAGAGGGACATATCATACCTTTTGCCGTTACTGTAATGTCCTCATATGTTATAAGACAATTTTCACCGGTTGAACTTTTTGAATTGAGTTAAGGTCGAGGTTCAATTTCTCAAACACTTCTGATATCAAGGCTAAAGGAAAGAAAGAGCTGGGAAGAACTAAATCTTCTACCAATAAAATGTATAAGGTAGCATCTCGAGGATAGACTGTTAGACGTTAGTTCCCTACCTTGTTCTCGTTAGAATAAGCTGACTGAAATTCCGAATCAAGCTAATTTATTTTGATGCAAATATAAATCGATTTTAAATTGAAGAAGATGAATTGAACAAAATGACATGGGACAAAAGGACGACGACATAGGAAAGTGCACTTCCAAGAAGGGGGCAAACAATAAGAACATTAACCCTTCTCTAGGGTCAGTTAATCTGCACATCATCACAAAACTTCATTCAGTCAATAATTAAGCTGTCACAGTTAAAACATTCAATAACCAGCTCACCTGAAATAAAACTATCACAAGAGTATTCTGAAATTGGTGAGGAGGAGGAACTACTAAAACAAAGGTTAACTACAATTCTTACCTAACAACGCGAGTCTTATTCATTTGGGTGAAAGTTTTAATACTTCCTAACTGGGAGTTGATGGAAAGAGGAGCTATCAACTCTGTTATAAGCCATATGCAAATAAAAGGACTATTGTAAGATCGGAAGCCTAACGGCGAACCAATTCAATAGCATATATGAGGATTAAGGAAGATATGAAATGGAGCTTTTATTTCATGATGGTTTCAGCTTGATCAGTAAGAAAGAAAGAGCATGAGTATCTGCAGACAAAAGAGACGCAAGGCATAAGCTGCGCTATCATCTTTAGACGAAAACACATATCAGTAGCTTGTCATTTCGAACCCATTGACTGTGAAACCTCCATCAACTGCTATAACTTGCCCGGTGATGTACGATGCTCCAGGTAGACAAAGATAAGCTACTAGGGATGAAACTTCTTGAGATTCTCCAGGGCGTCTAAGGGGAGTTCTAGATATTACTCCATCCAAAAATGTTTTATTTTCGAGCAACTGCAAAAGAAAACATAAAATTCAGCAAAAATTGGAGAATATGCGGTTAAGTGAAAAGAACATATAAATAAATACAGTAAGGGCTAGATTCAATAACATTAACTCCAGATAACAAATCTCTCAAGCTGCTACTGCTCAGTGCTCACATATAAAATCCTGAAGCATTCTCCACAAGAAATGAAATTGGCTCCATTAAGATATGAATCAACAACATGCTTTGACAATACATATAACCAAAAGAAACTCTAGTCTTTGAAAACATTGCAATCATGACATAATTCTCTACACAAAGAAAAGTCAGCAAATACAAATTTTCCTGTCACATTCAGGGGATCTTTTTCCTTTTGGGGAACAAAAAGATACTAAAAGACAGGGTTAACCATTTCCTGTCATATGCCACTTCTATAAATATTTTACCGCAGTTAAATATGCTTAACAATATAAGAATATGAAATTAAATAAACTTTATTCACAAAAAAAAAGTATGATTTCAAAGGAAAAATATGTTGTCAAAGGCGAAAAGTTCTAAGAAGTGCTCCATGTCTATTGGGGCTTTATTAAAGCGTGGGCTTTAGCTTAAAAAAGTGCAATGAAGGGAAAAAATAAAAAATATATATGTATTCAAGAAAAAAGTAACAAGTTCATTCGTAATGTTTTCCTTAACTTATTTGCCGGTTATATTTGTTGTTTAGTACCGCTAGAATCAAGATAGAGCTCATGGGCAATGAGGCACGGTACCTTAGTGCCTTCCCTACATTGAAGCACAGCTTAAGCGAGTGGAAGCACGCTCCCTGAGCTTTTCTGAGCTTCAGGGCTTAAACGCGCTAAATGAGCCTTTGACAACACTGGAAAATGATTGAAAAATAGATCTAAAGACCTGGAAAAGCACAGTAACTATTCGCCATATGCTATTCCTTTTCCAAATGAAACACTGAAAATCATGAAATTCTATTAAGGGTATATATGAATACAAGTGCTTTAGCAGATTGCCACCAGTTATTTACTCAACATCCAATACATTCCTTAAATGAATGCAACAGGAATACAAGCTGTATAAAACAATATGCAGAAGATCCAATAGATATTACCAAGGGGTGTGGTGGGATGAAGGAGATCCCTCTACCCTTAACCGGAGGTCTCAAATTCGAGCCCTTAGAATGAAGAAACCCCTGGTAAGGAACGGTTCCCCCCTTTAACGGGCCTACGCGGTGCGAATCCAGACCAATCAGGTTAAGGGTTCCAAAGACCGGATGGTTAGTCCAAAAAAAAAATGAAGAAGAGGAAGAAGAAGATCCTTCCGACGATATACATAATGAAATTAGGTAGTTATTATAAAGCTCATGACAAGCTATTTCCACATTTATGATACACCATGTAAGTTCATGCTAAAAATACAAGACTTATTATACAGTACAATTAATTTGAGTCTATAAGTTAGATGATGGCTAAGCCATGTTCTTGTGCAATGGCTGTTTTTCAATTTGACCTATGCCACTTTGTGCAACAGCCACAGGTATTCTTTAGCAAAAGGCAAAAGAATAGTTTGCTATGTGCTCATTGTGTGGCATGCCGTATATTTAGTTTATTTCTTATGACTGTAAAAACTCTTAAAAGGTCATTTTGTGAGCCTGTTATGTAGTCTGAACTGCAGCATGCACCAAACACAACTTGAGAGAATTAATAAATGAAAAACGTGTAAATCCTCCGTGTGGGCCTCGGCAAAATCAAAGAAATGTTTTGCCTCAGGTAACTTGTATCTCCAATCGGCAAATACTTGCGTGAAGAGATTCGAAACTCAAATGCATAAGCAAGATTAAGAATATTACATGTTCTACCAAAGACGTCCTTATATACCACGGGGCAACACCATTAACCCGAATGCTATCTTTTGCCCATTCACAAGCCAGATTTCGCGTGAGCTGATTCATTGCCCCTGAAGTTAGTAAAGAAAAAAAAAACTCAACACTCTATCTTCAATTGTTTAACAACTCAAAAGAGTGATAGTATTAGTACAGCTAACCTTTTGTTGCTCCATATACTGAACCAGAGGATAGGTGCACCAGACCAGCAACAGAAGAGATAAAGACAACAGATCCATTTCCAGATGCTTTCAAAAGAGGGTGAGCAAGTTGACACAGATGGTATGCAGATTCTAAGTTGGTACTAAGCAGATGGGCATATTCTTCAGCAGTATAATCGGTGGTGGGCTTCCTAATGTTTGTCCCCACATTGTTTACCTATGCCCAAAAGATATGACAATTACGTGGTTCAAAAAAATTCACTGTCTGAAAATTGGGCCTATCTAAAAACAGAAACATACATGTACAAGAGCAACAGATTGGGAATCAACAGTTTCTGTAGGACTTCTTTTTTGCACAAATAACAAGTAAAAATCCTTATGAAGCTTTAAAGGATCGAATTGGAATTTAGAGTCTGAAAACACATGCGACAACACCATTCAAATGAGAACCTTAACAATCACATATATAGACTATAGCCTAAGAGAACCTATCATGTTAATGCTAAGTAAGCTCTTTTCTATCTATATGTCCTATTCTTTCACCATTAAACCAGTATTAACCAGTGATAAATCGTGGTGCATGCGCACCCTTCCTATTGGCCAAAATCCTGAAAAATATAGACATAATATGTTTATAATGGCTAGATATCATTACTGTGCACCCATGTGCATGGCGAATTGAACGGTGCCCTGATTTAGCTTAGGTCACTGAAGACTCTGTCACTCATCAATCACTGTTAAGGGTCTCTTTGTGAAAATCATCCCCATTTTTTACATGTGTGACTCCTCTTTTTATGTCCTTATCTTTTATTTCTTCCTGAAAAAGCTAATCTCGATTCACACCTTCTTCGAAAAACTTTAATTTTCATCCAATAATATAACTAATAGATGCGCTTTCCTGACTTGTTAACATTTTGTCTCCTAATTCAGTTTCTAATTTTTACTTAATAGATTGAATTAAAAGAAAAATTAAACTCTCGGGTGGATGATCAGTTTATTTGCATATGAACCAACAACTTAGTAACCCAAACAGAGCTCGAAATTGACCAAACTGGCTCATATGCACTCATATTTTTGTGGCTAGTGGCATGCCTATATTAAGGAAAAGATGGTGGTACACACATGGTTTCCGGATCGTGGATCCACCTGATGTTAACAATGTTGAGATTCGCTAAATTGGTTCCTGATGGAAGTCACATATAAATTGAAATATTACTCATAGTTCAAACAAACGAGCTCCGCAACTACTAAGTGTTAGCATAACGTTTGGCTTATATTCAGTTTTAAAGCACTACAATACAATACTCTCTATCTCAATTTATGTGACTTTTTCGTTTTTAGTCTGTCACAAAAGTATGACACCTTTCTATATTTAGTTAACTTTCTCATTTGAATTATAACCACACAAATATTTATGCCTTATTTTAAAGGACAAGTTTCAAAAGCCTTTCTTTCTTTTTAACCATTTTTTGGCAGATTTTGACAAAAATCTTCAAATCCCAAAAACAACTATATACGTAGTTTTTAAAATTTTCTACTCACAGAACTTCAAATTCTTTTCAAGTAAAAAGATGTCCAAACACAACTTCAACTTTCAAAAACCATTTTCCATCTCATCTTGAGAAACTCATTTTTTCAAGTTTCAATCAAATCTATGTCCAAACGCTAACTAAGGCCCCGTTTGGCCATGAGTTTTTCCAAAATAAATTTGGAATTTATTTTTAAAACTCATGTTTGGCCATAAATTTTGCCCATATTTTGGCCAAATCCCAAATATCAAATCTCAAATCCCAAAATCAGCTATTTTGGGCCAAAATCCCAAAACTTGGAAATTATATACATGTTTTTTTCAAAATAAAGTTGGAAAATATATTTTGAAAACGTATGTCCAAACACATTTTCATTTTCAAACCAAACTTCACCCAAATCAGATTTTTCAAAATAAATTTGGGATCTATGGCCAAACGCTAGCTAAGATTCTATGGGCAGTCAAACACAATCACATGAAACTAAAACCGAGGGTGTAATACAAAAATTGGGTTTATAGAACTAACAAGAATGTTCAGCTTTCCGTCGAAAGCAGAGGAGACATTCTCCATGAGCTGAACTCTCTGCTCCCTTGAAGAAGCATCGCAAACAGAACCCTTGACTTGAAGGCCTTTTTCTGCCCACTCTTGCAAGCGTTCATTGAGCTCTGCTTGATTCCGTGAACAAGTATACACTGTCGCACCCAGTTCCGCTAGTTCCTCCACAACCGCATGCCTAAGAAAATATGGCCATAAATTGAGGAATTGAAACGCAGATACATTTACAAAAACAAAGATTTTGGAGTTCGGTTTTACCCAATTCCACGAGTGCCGCCGGTTACGAGGGCGGTAAACCCTGAAAGAGACCATCTGGAACTGCTCCCACTACTCGCAACCTTCGCCATGGATTACTTTCTTCAAATGAGGAGAAATAAAAGGATGTTGTAACAGTAGTAGTACTAGTATTAGAATCCGATATTAATATTAAAGAATACTAATCATGTAAAACAATAGTTATAACAAAATTATTTTAACAAAATTTCAATTGCTGTCTTGTTTCTCAATACAATATACCAAATAATAAATACTTATGAAATAAAAGGAAACAAATCATATAATTATTGAATATATTTTTCGTTCTTTATATATAGTTATTATATCATTCACTATTTAGTATTATTACTTTGCTAATTTAACTTTTTATTAGTTTGATATTTGTCTTGATATGTTTGTGCACCATTGTTTTTAATATAACACACACACACATATTGCTTAGAATTCTTTCATTATTTAACATTTTTTTTTATTTTAACTTATATATTCAGATTTTAATTATGTAGTTTTATCCATCAAATGATTCTTCTTATCCTTTAATGTTCTTACACCGAAATTTGTTATTTACTTATTCAATAATATTTTTAAGTATTATTTATATTTAATTTATTTATTTTAGAATTAAATTAAAGTAAAAATAGCCTCACACTATCTGTATTACCAAATATTTTTTCTATTATAACATTTTTATTAAATTTATCCATCTTAGTATTTTACATATAAGCCAAACTATGTCATATTGTGTTATAATTTATGATTTTGAATTCGTCCATATCCGAGAGTATAATCAGAGAAGTTTTTTATAGTTTTTTGTCGTAGAATCTACTGAAAGTCATAATAATTGTAATTTTAGTATTACAATGCATTATTTCCTCCTTGTTTCTTTTATATATAAACTAGTTTTAGGATACGCGCTTTGCGCGTGTACATCATCTCAATGGATATAAATTTTTAAAAAATTATGTAAGTTTTTTTGGTAATTAAAATTTTTATTAATCACCAAAAGTGAAGGCATTACATAGCAGAGCTTAGCTACTCCCAGCTAGCTGAAGTTCTCATGAAAACTACAAAGGGAAAGACTATTCTATCTTAGCATGTACTGAGCTACTATCATTGATCTATGCTAGAAATACAACTTTTGTATCAGTGTCTTTACATTCCCTGTGGCCCTAAAGTTACATATGCAGACTATTTCTCTTGCCAAGCTTGTGTGATCTCTGAATGTTTGTTGAAATATTCTCTGGTTCCTTTCTTTCCACAGTGCATGAGTATATTCAGCATACAACATCTTGAGAAGCTTTGTAGCAGCTGATTTGCCTCCTGTTTGTTGACAGATAACTTGTAGTTGTATCTCCCATGTTGCACCATCATTGTTCTGTATCTGTGCCCATTGTTTCAATCTGTACCACAGCCTTTTAGCATAGTCACATTCAGCAAACAAGTGATTCCTTGTCTCCAAATTGGTATGGCATAGCACAAATAAGTCATTTACTTTGAGGCCCCATTTCTTAAGCCTGTCTACAGTAAGTAATCTTCCTTGACATTGGAGCCACATTGTGATTATAGCCTTAGGTCTGGCAGCATTGTTACACGCTAGAGATCTCCAGGTAATTTTGGGCAATATTGGAATCAGTTGGAGGTATATCTGCCTAATGATGCTTTTCTTATCTTCTAATGGCCTTTGTAGCTGCATTATGTTCTTCCTTGCTTCCAAAATTTTCTTTACCATCCAGCTTGCATTCATAGGGATTGGCATATAGTATATGTTCTGCTCCTTGATGTACACTGTATGGGTCCACTTAATCCACAACTTCTTTTTCTTGTGAGATAAGTCCCAGAAAGTTTTGGCAATGGCAGCAGTATTCCAGGTATGTAGGTTGCTTAGGTTAAGTCCACTCACTGTTTTAGGTAGACACACCTTATCCCAAGCAATGAGAGCCCTCTTTGTAATCTCATTCCCCCCAGACCACATGTAGCTTCTACAATAAGCATCTATCAACTTGATCACTTTGGCTGGTAATGGAAATATTTGTGCCCAATAGGATTGGATGCCAACCAACACAGTTTGTATTAATTGGACCCTTCCAGCATAAGACAACTTTTTTGCAGTCCATGAAGTAATCTTGGCTACAATTTTTGTAATGAGTGGTTGCCATTGTAACATATTCAGCTTCTTTGTGTCCAAAGGCACCCCTAGATATTTGAAAGGTAGTTGCCCTTGAGTATATCCCATATTTTGGCAGATTGTATCTATAGTCCCTCTCTCCATACCTCCACAATATATAGCACTTTTGTTCAGGTTTGCTTGCAATCCTGAAGCTCTTGAGAAAGTTGTTAAACACTCCTATAATCTTTGAGTTGAGGATATGTCTCCTCTGGCAAACAACAGCAAATCATCAGCATAGCTTACGTGGGTGATATTTAATTTGCTACATCTAGGATGGTATTTGAAACTTTTATCTTGGTGTAGCTCATTAAGAAGTCTGCTCAAATATTCCATAGCTATGGCAAACAGGAAAGGGGAGATTGGGTCTCCTTGTCTAAGTCCTTTAGCAGCATTAAATGGTTCTAGGGATTCTCCATTCAAGAGGATGGTGTAGTTGACTGTTTTCACACAAGCCATTAGCCACTTGATAAACTTTCCTGGGAAATTCAAACCTTCAAGCACCTGTTCTAGGTACACCCATTCAACAGAGTCGTAGGCCTTTTGCAAATCAACTTTGATCATACACCTAGGAGAGATGTGCTTTCTGCCATATGATTTGACCAGCTCATGTGCAAGTATAATATTGTCCACAATCCTTCTACCTGGAATAAAACCTGACTGGGCTTCTGAGATGATACAGCTCATGACTTTTTGCATTCTCCCAGCAAGGATTTTTGCAATCAACTTGTACATCATTGTGCAATAAGCAATGGGTCGATAGTCCTTCACAGTGTTAGGATTTGCAATCTTTGGAATGAGGGTTAGAGTGGTGCAATTAATAGCTTTAAACATGGTTCCAGAGTCAAAGAACTCTCTAACAGCAGCACATACCTCAGGTTTAATGACTGGCCAAGCTTTTTTGAAAAAGGTGGCATTGAAACCATCTATCCCCGGAGCCTTGTGATCCCCTATTGAGCCAAGAGCTTCAGAAATTTCAGCATCAGTAACATTGGCACATAACTCAACTTGCTGGAAGTGAGACAGTTGGGGTTCCCTTTTCATCACCCTAATATTAACTCCAGGTAGAGAAATTGCAGCTGATCCCATCAATGCTTTGTAGAAGTCTGTGAACCCCTCCTTGATTGCTGTAGGGTCTTTCAGTTTCAAACCTGACAAAGAAGTGATATCCAGGATCTGTTTCTGTTGTTGTTTTTCTTTCATCACAGCTGAAAAATATCTTGTATTTGCATCACCTAATTTGATCCATGTAGCTCTAGATTTTTGCTGCATCACACTCTCTTCAATTATAGACCATTTCTCCAATTGTTTTAAACATAGCTTTTCTTGTTCAGCCAAATTATCAGAGTATCCATGTTGCATTTGTTTTTGAAGATCTATCAGCTCCATTCTAGCCTTTATAATTTTCTCAGTAATCCCTTTAAACTCTTCATTGTTAAGCTACTTGAAAACTGGTTTCAACTGTTTCAGATTGCTCCATACATTCCTCATTTTCCCTCCCGTCTCACTTCTTTTCCTCCCATCAGCAACTATTTGTTTAAAGCTTCTATGTTCAGTCCAAACATCAAAGAATCTAAAGGGAATTTTCATGTTCTTCTTTGTGGCTCTAAGAGGAATCAGTATGGGTACATGGTCAGAAATAAGTGGCTCTCCAAATTCTGCTGTCAAATGGCCATATTGCACCATCCGTTCATCATTTGCTATAGCTCTGTCAATTCTACTACAAACTCTGTCTGCACCTTGTTGTTTATTTGTCCAGGTATAGTACTCTCCTCTCCAAGGTATTTCACTCAACAGGAGACTGTTTCAAGAATTTGAGAAATCCTGCAACTCTGCCATAGTAATAGGTGAACCTTGTCTATCTTGTGGGTACAGGACAACATTGAAGTCCCCACACATTTTCCAAGGTTCATTACTCCTAGGAGCAATTCTTTGAATCCCATCCCAAAGAGCTTTCCTTTGTTCAGTTGTGTTATACCCATAGATGGCTGTAAGTAGGCATTTGATTCCATTCTGCAGTCCATTGACCTGACAGTGTATGAATTGTGCATCTTCTTGAACAAGCTGTATGCCATACCATTTGGGATCCCATGTGATCCATATTCTGCCATTCCTTGCTTCCTTGTAGTTTGATATTCTTTCCCAGTTAGGAGTAACTCTACTAGCAACATGCAATGCCTTATTCTGTTTAACTCTTGTTTCTATGATAGTAGCTAACTTTATATAATTGCTTATGAGATACTGCTTTAACTCCTTCTGCTTGTACCTCTTATTTATGCCCCTAATATTCCAGAAAAGCCAGGTCATTCAGTAAGCTTATTTCCTCCTAAATTTTGGAGGATTAGCTTTGATATTTCTCTGTTCCTCTTCAGTCAAACCTTGGAATCCATTTGATGTTATAATGTCCACAGGGGTTTGGTAATGTTGTGGTGCTGCTGCTTTTATACCTGAACTTGATCCTCTTGCTTTAACCTGTATCCAGCCTCCTTCAGTATTTGATTGAATCACAACCTTTCCTTTGTTTTGGTTGCCTGAATCTTCATTTTGTTCACTCATTGCAGGTTCCTTCTGTTGTTGCTTAGGAATCCACATTGGAACTACTCTTGGCCTTTTGTACTTCTGATATTGCACTGGATTCCCTAGTTGTTTCTGCTTCACACAATCATGACCAATCTTCAAGCATTCAGAGAAAATTGCTGGTTTTCCATTTCAAACTCAATGGGTTGTTGAAAGTGCCTACCAGACGGATTTAACAGTTATTTCAGTAGGAAGCTTCTTTGTCACATTTACCTCAATCAATATTCTAAGCATATGAACTCTAGTTTGTTTTGGTGGGTACATTGATCAGCAAACAGGGATTACCTAGAGTACTGACCATCCTACTCAATAGTTTATTCCCCAGCAGTTCATCGGAAGCTTAGGGAATTTCACCCATAGTGAAATCTCTGTTAGGAAATTCAGCA